TGTGTGTGTGTGTGTGTGTGTGTGTGTGTGTGTGTGTGTGTGTGTGTAAGTATATACATATACAAGATATTAAAAAAAGGTCGGAATTTACTCGGGAAGATTTTTATCCAAGATCAAATTGATAAAATCTGTAAATAGATCTTTTTATACCTTACTTTTGTCGGAAACATTTCTTTCAAAAATGTTATCCTTCCGAGTAAATCCGGAGTTTTAACTTTTTTTTAATACCCTGTACAAGATGTCTCAATAACTATTAGCACTTGAAATCTTCGAATCTATAAGGTCTAGAAGAAAGTTTATATAATCAAAATTGCACGATATGAAGAGGTTTATCATATGGCGATATATATAATTTTAATAATTTAATAATTTTTGTCCAGGTGGAGGCGCTTCAGAAATTTCAAAGTCATTTCAACTTCATTAAAAAAAAATGGAATTATATAATTTTTTACGTAATATGATTCCTTTTTTTTTAGTTATTCTGCGTATAAAAGTATTGAAAAATCAATTTATGAGATATTTTATACTTTATTCTGGCACATATTGAGATAAAATGTTAAATAACTCGTAAATTACTAATTTTTTTATAATCGTATCTTAATACTTTTATGAACAGATAATGAGATGGTATCATATATGGATGAATCAATTGGTATAAAAAAATACATAATTACTTTTAAAAAATATGATTGCAAAATAGATAACTTTTTAAATAAGCAACTATGTATTTTCTTTACACCAATTCTCTACATACACATGTATACATTAATAAGTGTATAATTGAAGCAACTTTTAATTAAAATTTACTTCTCTGCTGCTTTCCGTTTAGTTCTTTCTAGTCGCAATTCTGCTTCTTTAATTTTACTTTGTTCTAGTTGCCTGTGGTAACGTTCATGTACTTCCACAGAGGAAGGCATCATACTTGCGTAGCAAATAGGACATGTCACCATTAACGCTTGCTTTTCCTATAATAATAAAATAAGTAAAAACCTTTAGTAAAAAAGTGCCACATATTTGCATATATATAATATATAATAAATACAATGCTTTTTCTGCTTACTTCTTCTGATTTACCACAAAATTGCATATGTGATATAAAACCATCAACACTCCGTCTCGTAGCCTCACATTTTTCACAAGTTAGAAATTTCTTTTTTTGCTTAAGAGCAGCAGTTAATACTCTCTTCAACAATTTTATATCATTTTCGAAATCCTGTACATATAAACAAATTTACTTTTTATATTTAAATTTTTATTAATACAAAGTATAAAGATCTACAAAGAATGCTTTATTAAACACATTTTTTACCAATGGTTCATCATCTTTTCGCCAAGCCATGTTATTATGATGATATAAATTGTGTGATGACCATTGTTTCTTCGGTATTTCTTGGTTGCATTTAGCGCAAGTTACCAATTGTATCTATAAATAAAGAATATTTTTAATTGAATTACTCATACTGTAATTGTGATATGCTGTAGCATAAATCTTTAAGATATACTGCAACCTACGACTTTTTCAATATGTGTAACATTCGAATCTGTAATAGTGTCTTCGGTATTCACTATACAACTTGTTGCATTTGTGTCATCTATTTTGTTACTCTCCTTCATTGTCGATTGAGAAATGTTTGTCGTTGTTAATCTAGGAGTGTATTCGGTATCTATCAAATTTTGTAATGTTCCTCTACCGCGTCCTCTACCGCGTCCTCGACCGCGTCCTCGACCGCGTCCTCGACCTCGGCCTCTTGAACCAGGTGGTCGACCTCGTTTCTTGACGAAAATTTCTTCTTCTGCGGTATCAGTTTCATCGCTCATACTGATATCAAACCTAATTTTACTAGCGCGTCTTCTATCATGTGTTATGGATTCGGTGCTAGTTTTAGTAATCTCTCGCAACATAATATCATCTTTTGATCTCTTTGGCGTGATTTGATCTGTGGAATCATCTATCACTTTCTTAGGTCTACCTCTTTTTCTCTTGATATTTTGTTCAACTTCAAATGATTGGCTTTGTTCTTCATGTTGCACATTTATCTCACTTGCCACAGCTGTATCTCGATGTGCTGCATTATTCTCAACGGATGAAAATGATGATTTAAATAAATCATCATTTTCCGTTGCTTTAGATATAAACTTCCTATTTATATCTTCGTCGGATGAAATTTGTTGCTTAATTGAATGTACAAGCTCTGTATATTTTTCTGTCAACTTTAAATCGTTACTATCGTCTACTGTTGTCAATTGCGTTCCTCCTGATTGCATTGAATTTGTCAATTTATTCTCAACTTTAATTAATTCCGACTTCTTATTATTACCTTCGATAGAAGCTTTCAAATTTGTGAGCAGTGATCTTGTTGGTTTAGCTGGTAGTACAGTTACTCCATTCTTGATTTCCTCAATTCCTTGCTTTTTCGTTACAGTTATCTTGTCTGATAAAATAATATGATGTTCGTTTACAATTTGATTTTGCATTTTGATCGACAAGATATTACCGTCAGTTAAACTTCGGGAAAAATTATTTGATACAATGACATCATTCATTTTATCCCGCTGGAAATCTTTTTCATTTTGATCAGGTATAGTTTTGTTTACATTAGCATTATCCTCTATTGCACATGAGTAATGTAATGAACTTATACTTTTGTCTCTGGATGCCACCAAGATATCTGTGCTTTTTGCTTCCATAGATGTTCCTGGCTTAATTGAGAACAAAAGTTTTGTTCGAGAATGTATATTTGATGTACAATCTAAATTTTCTCTTTTAGCAGAATATTCAGGTACAAATTCAGTTTCACATGCTGTATTTTGTAGAGTAACTAATTTATAAGGTACTTTATTTCTATTTGAATTTGTTTCACTTTCCATTGTATTCTTTCTTCCTATATGCATCTTCTGCTCCAGATTATCAGATTTATTAACTCCTATTCTGATAAAATTGTTACTTGGCACATCAAGCAATAGCCTCTCCTGTGCATAATTCTCTAGAATGGATCCACTTTCGCACTTATTGTTATTTTTGATGCCAAGATATTCATTCTTCTTATCAATTTCTGATAATACAATGTTTTTGTTTGAGATAGAAGCTTAAATTAAAAAATTGAAGATATCATTATCGATGTTGCCTTAAAATAACTTTAGAAAATATAGTATACTTACAACTAGCTGCATCACTAATACAAATATTCTTCAACTTCTCGAAGCAAGGAGGAAACATACTTGAATCGCTCTTAGCTGCTTCATCATATGCTCTATTTTTAGAAAAACATTTACTTTTTTTAAGCGACATATCATATGAGCTATCTCCTCTCTCTTTCGCAGGGTAAAAGATGATAGAAATAATTGTAAAAGTTGACTCTCTCTACACCATAACATGTGAGACGAGGAAGTTCAATTTTACCTGCAAATAATTATTATAACTTTAATTATAATTTTAATGTTTTTTAATCATATTCTTGAGTCTCATCTCACGACATTTCGATCACAAAAATACGGAGAAAAAAAATGAGGAAAAAACAAAAAAAATTCCGGGGATTCGAACGTGGAACATTTGAGATTGGAATCTAATCTCTTGTTTAGAGCTCTAAAGCACACTCGAACATACTGTTATTAAAAACTATTACCTGTATTCGCGATTGTCCTACTTTTTATAATTTTCCTAGTTGTATTGTTATCAATAATTGAGAAATTTTCGATGTCTCATCATTTCACAATGTGAACGAACAACAAAAATAGGTTATATGTGTCATTCGTTCTGATTTTTTTCTTAATTAACGTTAAAGTTTATGTACTTATCATATTATGCGATAAATAAAAAATTCTTTTTGTTTTTTTGTACAGCTATTGCACGTTTTACCTTTTTAAGCTACGTACACACACGTAAACAGTGAATACACGCCTCGCTGAAAATGACGCGATACTGATCACCTTATGTAACTCGCAGTGAGCGACGTGCTACTAATTCAGTTATGGCTCAATGGTAAAGTAACTGCTTAGTAAGGGGAGAGGCCTAAGCCGCCTAGGTTCGAATCTCGGCAGTGCCCCCATGAGAGCTCTGAAACTCGTTTCTTTTTTAGCTGAATTTCTTACAAGAGATTCATCTATTTCTTTTTCTTTTCAAAAAAAAAGAGGAAAGATCAACTGCAGGCTCAATTAGAAAGAACAGATCTATTTTCCTCATTTTACATTTGTTGAATATGAAAAAATATACATATACAAGGATGTTTCAAAATTATCGCCAAATATTTCGTGTGCTGGTACAGTGGACTAAACTGAGTCGAAGTCTTCTATTATTTTGCAATTTTCGCAATAGTTAACAAAATATTAATTACTAAAGATCGCCGAATATTAGTTTTCAATAATTTTTTATTCAAATACTATCATTTTTACAGAAAAATAACAAGTGACAAAAATTATTTATTTTCTTCTCATAAAGTTCTAAGAATTTTTTCAGAATTTTTTAGTACTACATTTTCTCACGTTAGTAAAAATAGTTGCCAATAAGAAAATGCAGTTAAAAAGTTGTTTAAAAAATTCTAAAAAAATTCTTAGAGCTCTATAAAAAGAAAATAAACAATTCTTAGTCTCTTTCTATTTTTTTGTGAAGTTGATAGTACTTGAGTAAAAAATTATCAAAACTCAATATTTGGCGATTTTTAGTAATTAATATCTCGTTAACTATTTTTTTCAATTCAGTTTATTTATTCGCTCTAACAGCATACGAAATATTTGATCATATTCAAGGATATCCTGTATATAAATCTTATTCCTTTTCTTCTTATTTCCTTCAACATTTATTGTAAGATTTTTGCAATGACAAACGCCTTACAAGTGTAAAATATTATCTAATGTTTAAATATTATCTAGATGTTTATTTTGATTTGGCAACTATTTTCTCTTTCAGTAAATTTAGTATTTTCCAGTATTTTTTATCATATGTGAAATCATGTATGAAAATATTTATCAAGTGCTTGTGAATAATAATTAACAAGAGACACAAGAATTTAATTAGAGGATATTTTTATTTACGAAGATTTTTATAAACTTATATCATCCTTCTGAGAAGCTCGTTGATTTTATCCTCTCGGTTTCCAAAGTCACCACCTTCTACATAATGATTGGTCTTTTTACGCCATCCACCATTTGGAGTATTAAGCTAGAAACAGAGAAATTATTTTTTATACAGATGTAATGTTTCTGAAAAAATATATGCTAAAGCGATCAAGATATAAAAAATTTGTTAAACAAATGCAAGTGTTTGAGTTTATCTTAGATTGATGATATTAACAGACATCATCCATCAGTAAGAAAAACTCGTACTGTTTTTCGACATAATAGGGAGTTTATAGCTTTAGATTAATCTATAACCATGCCTATGTCGTAAATATAAAAAAAATATATCGATAAATATTGTATATAATATCTCTTTTTTTTACACCTTGAAGAGCACATACCTTAAAGGGCCATAGGAAATTACTGGCGTATTTGAACTTTGGACCAACAGTAAATATCTCGTGGATTAAATCCTCGGTACAAATGATATTAGATCGACCTAAGGACAAAATAAAATTTTCCTTTTGATAGATTATTTCCTAATTGATGCAAATCGACTTATATACTAATTATATATCGCTCATTTGTTAGGTACAACTCAAAAAACAAAGTTTTTCAGAAAAGTTAAAATATTTGAATTATTAAACGTTTGTAATATTAATTTTAAAAAGTAATTTTAATGTTACAACTGATTATAAAATAAAAGTATCTACTCTTAAAATGTTTTTTCTTTACATATGCATTCTTTTTTTATAACCAATTAAAAAATAATT